CTGGGCGTCCTGGAGTTCCTGGGGTTCCTGGACGTCCTTGTGGTCCTGCTGGTCCTGGAAGACAGCAACCACTGCATTGGTTATCTTCGAAGTCTTCGATTCCGATAGCTGGAGCTCCGTATCCTCCATATCCGCCATAACCTCCGGATGCAGCAGATCCTGAAGATCCGTATCCTCCATATCCTTCAGTATTGGCTTGACGGGCAGTACGGTTGCTTGGCTTATCCTAATAATGAGAATAAGAAAAAATATAGATACTCCGTAATACCTTCATTGTGAAAGCTTGAGTGAGAATGTTCTGTGTAGTAAGCTGACACTGACGAAGTTCTGCGTTGACATGGCTTCTGTACTCATCAACATAGTTGTGTACCATTGGAAGGGTAACACAGATTGAGAGAACAGAGATAACAGAGAAGGCAACAGCAGAGTAACCGACAAAGCGGTAAGCCTTAAAAAAGTAGTTAAGAGCATGAACTTGATAGCTTACTCACCGTGATTTTGCTATCGTAATCCATGGTCGATGGTTCGATGTCTTCTGGTAAGCCAGGCTTCTTTTATATGTACGGCTGGGTAGGCGAAACCCGTTCGGTGGTTAAGAGTGGCAGCTTTTTTTTTCTCATGGGTCACAGCAAAACGTTGGAATGATGCAGTGAAAGAAACAAAGTGAAACTGTTCAACATATAACAAAAGCGAAACTTAGACATTAATTGAGCTTTACATCATTTTAAGTTTTAACTAACTTTTTGTGAAACGGTATCTGAGAAGACACATTCATCATATGATAATTCCGGGAGAGATACAATGACTGTTCTATTTATTAGCTTTTGATCAAAAACCAATAAAACTATTTGCAAAACAAATTTCCTTCTCCAGAAATGCTCCATCACTTGATAAGCCATATGTGGGAACGGGAGAATTCGATGATGATCCTTACACAACTAATTTGTATGTATGCAATTTACCATTGGATGTAAGTTCCATCAAGACTATACGAAAGACAGTGTACTCATTTGCAGGTTTCCATGCAAGATATTATGGAGACCTTCGGATCTTTCGGTCCTCTCGCCTCTGCCAAAATATTGTATCCTCGTTCAGAAGAAGAGAAGAGAAGAGATCATTTATGTGGATTCGTCGCTTACATGTAATATTGAACTGCGCATTTTCCTTACTGTCTTTTCCTCAGATCCCGTACTGATGCTGATCGTGCTATAGCAGCTCTACAACACGGACTAGAAATCAAGAATGAGCCTATTAAAATTTCCTTTGCTCGCCCAGTTGTTGTTCCTACCCAGGTAAGGATATATGATCTGATGCGTTGGCTAACTCTCTGTATTACAGCCGTTCTACGTTCCTCCTGTACTTGAAGCCTTGACTCTTCCGGATCCACCAACAGGATTACCTTTCAATGCTAATCCTCTTACTAGAGATGTAAGAACCTTCAGTTCGTACTTTTCATTAATCATCTTTGTCATTCAGATTGATGATTTTCTTCGTAAATATCGCGACCTTCCTCAACTCGGACAGCCTCTATCACCTGACACTCCTAGGGACAAATTGGACATGTATAAGCAGGTATTGCTATGTGTTCCTACTGGCACACGGGCTTAATGCTTGACCGTATACGGTCTATGGAATCTTTGAATAATTTGAAACTGCAGATGATCAAGAATGCAACCGTCCGTGTAGTGATTCCTACAGACAAGTGAGTTCTTCAATTCCGTTGATTCATTCAACCGCTCTCCGCTCTCTCCGCAACGAAAATGAAAATTTTTCAGCCATGTTCTTCAATTGATACATCGTGTAATAGAATTTGTAATAAGAGAAGGCCCTATCTTCGAAGCTATGCTCATGGGGAGGGAACAACACAATCCTTTGTACAGGTAGCTTACTCACATAATCTTTTTGTAAACAGGTTGTACACAGGTTCTTATTCGACAACCATCATCCTGCTCATGTATACTACCGATGGAAACTGTATTCTGTTCTGCAAGGTGACGACTTGAATCATTGGAGACGAGAGAAATTCAGGTGTGTCTTGACTTCATCATAATTTTCATGTGAGTTCCATTTAGACTGTTCGAGGATGGATCATGGTGGGAACCTCCACCACCTCAAGGTGAAATCTTGAAGAGTATGCCCAAGCAGTTGTATCAGTATGCCTGCAATTATGTCGATCCTGATAAGTGGTTCCCGTCGCTGAAGAAGGAAGTAAGAATTATATTTCTCTCTGATTTTACATTTTTTTTAATTCCAGACAAGAACACGCAATCGATCGCTCTCTGATGCTGATGAAAGTGTTCGAGATAAAGAAAGGAAGCGAAGGAACTGTTTGAGTAGAAAAGAACGTGATGAGTTTGAAGACATACTTCGTCATCTTACTCCGGAGAAAGAGAAAGTAAATTTGGTGTTACATTCTGTTTACAAATCGATTAAGGTCGGAGATGCTATGGTTTGGTGTGCTGATCATGGAACATATGCTCAAGAAATATGTGAAACGATCTATGAATCGC